ATGAACATGCCATTTAGAAATTTCAAAGGACTCCCATTTTTGACAATGAATATTGGAGTCACTGCAACTTTTGTGGGCCCATTTCCCTAAGTACCGGCAAGGTGGGACAACAAAGGCCTCACACACAAAACCAGGTTTGGCTACCCCTTACAGGAAACTGATTGTGATGAGTGATTTCTCACAACTTAAAAGCTTTTTCAAAAGTGACTAAAAATGAAGGAAGTATATTGGGTCAAAGTATACTGACCATGGTTATTGCTCAAGGTTTTGACCTTGAGTATATTCAATCCTTTCAGTGTCTAAAGATTCTAGACACTAGGTGGCGGTAGAATGCTCAGAATACCAAGTAATAGGTGTCGAGTATCTTTCAGGCTGAGCAAATTTTTTTTTTAATATTCTAGTGAGTTTCTTTAAGATTGCTTCATATGAGAGAAACATCTCTGACAATCCTAAATGGTTTGTAGTTTTCTAGGGACAGTTTTCAGGACAGGGAAAGCAACCGACTTAACTTTTAGTTAGAGATACCATATCATGGATCTTTAAAATTTCAAACTAACACTTTTGTTTACAATTAAACATGCTGAAGTTTTCTTCTAAGGCACATGCTAGGACTCTAATCCAATGAAAATTATGCACCAATGAACCATCATTTGGACTCGCATATAAGGTGGACCAGATCACAAAATATGTTGTAATAAAATTGTTCTGGCAACAATTTGCTATATCATTCTTTTTATGCGCCTTTCATAGAAGCTTTAAAAACATTTTCAAAAGAAAAAAAATTTAGAAGATGGGAAGTCTGTCAAGTCAACGTGTACCCTGAGAAGATGGTGAGGGTGAACATGAGGAAATAGTGGGACAATAGTCATTGCACATGCGCTCTTTCTAGGAACACTCAATTTATTCTGGGAACATTCTGCTAATACTTTTCTTCTATTTAGCAGACATGGTCCATAATTGATTCAGGTCTTAACCTGTTACTGGAATAACATTGCTGATTATTTTGTCATTATATGTATCACTTTAAATAGCACCATAGATTATATATCTTTATATGCTGGTGTTTTTAGTATTTTTATTTATTTTCATAAAATATATTCTATATAAAATTGATCTTTTCTCTCAAGATTCTAGGACCATCACCACCATCCATCTTCATGATTCCTTGCATCTTGTAAAACTAAACAGTCAACAACTATTATTACACAATAAAATCAAATCTTTCCAGTCCTCCCACCTGACCCAGCCTCTGGCAAACCATCAATCTTTCTGTACTTATTATCAGTACTCTGGACATCCCATGACTGTTTTGACTGTGGAAAACAGTCCAAAAAAGTTTGAAATCTATTTAAAGAAA